TTAAGGATTTTTATTATTACCGGATGTTTAAGTTAAAATTTTGTTTTTTGCATTGAAAATGACCCGATCGGAGTCGAAACGTATGTATTTATGTATTTAATGTTATTATTCTAATTATAATTATTTGTTAAAATATTGGTTCTATGCCCTTTTTAATATTCATTTTTGATAATCATTTGGCTATACTTTATATAGTTAATTTGGCATTTGGATAAAGAAGAACGAGCTAAATTGTTTGGAATCATCTTTTGGAAATTGCGTTAACTATGCAATTATGTTAATATGTCTGGAAACACTGGTAGTGTCTAGGGATGCATGATACTTTATCGATATTTTCAGTATCGATATTTTTCAGTCCGAAATCCGATATTTTTCATCGATACTTTCGTTTCGATAATTTCAACATATCGGTACTTTTCGTACGTATCGACACGTCGATATTTTTGATGCTATTAATTTGAATTGGCATCTTGAAAATGTCGATTTTGAGTTTCGAGGTTCGAGTTACCGAGTAATGTGGAACTTTTTCGAGACGAGTCGTTAAAATAATATTGTTTTGCTATGAATACCGGCCAATGTAATGGCTCTTGCACACTGGACGCGAAGGAAACGCTTGTCGCGCGGCGAAATGAGATGCGGTAACCAATGAACCATTGGTTGAATTTTAAGATTTTAGTGTTAGGACCAAAAGTATAAACCAGGAATTACCTTGCGTTACGTTGCATTAATCAGAACGAGAAAATTATATAGAGATGGGAGATAGACATCTCAATATATTAAAAATTGTTTGAAAATCGCCCTTTTGGTGAAAGAAAATGATTTTTAAATAAAAAGATCGGAATAACCTCAAAGATGATTTCTATCGCGCTATTTTGCAAAAAATTGTTTTTTTTACACAGTGACATCGGCGTATCGATACTGAAATATCGATACTTTCATGCTCGGTATTTTAAGGTATCGAAACTGTGGTCTACGATGCATATCGATGTAAAATATCGATGCAACCGAAAGTATCAAACATCCCTAGTAGTGTCTCGATGGTAAGCTACGCGCAGCGCCACTACTGTGGCTACTTTACACGAGCCGGCGAGTTGCGGCAGATCGAGATTATCGGATCTCAATAAGGGCTGAACCGATCAAGTTCTAAGTATGTTTAATCGATTGCAACCGCTCGGGATATATAATAAAAGTGTTTTTATTTTTTCTCTACGTGCTCTACGAGCGGAGATGTTGCGACGTTGCG